AATGCACTCCTAAAAAATATAAATTCGGACAATAAATAATAAGAAAATTTTAGAGCAACAACTACAACCCCTCTTAATGTTAGATATTTTGGGATTTAAAGAAAAAGTTTATCGCATTATTTTCTTCGATTTTAGTTTCCGCCTACCTAATCCTTTTCACAATAATTATAACTAGAGACAGCACGAGACCTGATGTCGATCGTAAATCTCGGTTACCGAGATCGAGAAACGATACTCCCAGTCCGATCTCTAGTCATAACAGAAGACGGGTACTTTATGGATATGTCACCCCCCTCCTATTTTGAGCCTCAGAGTTTTCCTTAAACGTAGAAAATGGTCAGAGATTATTCTCTTCTCATGTCAATCATTTTTCTTTCTTCAAGCAAAATGAGTGAAATGTGGTAAATGTAGAAACGAAATGAGTGAAATGTATGTACAAAATATGTGAAAAGGCAAAATAAACAAGCAAAATACTTGAAAAAGAAAAAAATGATGACATGGAGAAGAAAATAATCTCTGACCATTTTCTTCGTTTAAGGAAAACTCTGAGACTCAAAATAGGAGGGGGGTGACATATCCATAAAGTACCCAGAAGACGTATAGCTAATACATATTGGATTCAAGCCAGTTTCCTAGTTAGGTTTTCCAAGGGTTTTCCAAGTAACGAGCGCGATACTACACACGGAATCACTCTCCTGAATTTTTAACAAAATTTTACCGGCAATTCCTAATTCTTTCCAAGTTTTCCATACTGCTTGTATATGCCTTCAAAAGTGCTCGAAATACACTAAATGGTACCTTAATTTAAAATTACTTTTTTAATTAAAACAAAAAACCAGTTGTTGGGGAAGAAGTCGAAGATATAATTTTAAAAGGCCGGCAACTTAAAAAAATAAAAATTATAAAAGTAAAAAATTTAAACAAAAACCTGTATGTATATCTTCTTCTTGAGATAATTCTACATTATGAGATAAATCGTATTGTCTTCTAAGTTTGTCTATGCGTTCAAATGAACCAGAAACTCTTAAAATTTTCGAGAAAATTATTTTCTGGAGTAAATTAAGTTTTGAAAATAAGTCTGTAAATGGACTTAAAAATTCAAGACATTTCTAGAATCTTTTCCCCTCCTTCCAGTGCACAGCAAAGAAAATTTTTACGAGGTTCGGTCTCCTTTCCCCATCCTCATAAGAGAACAACCCTCTCTTATTTAAAACAAAGAATCATGGAACAAGAGATGCTGATGTGACAAACGTAAATTAATATAAAAATATTGAGACGTTCCAGCAAAGCGAGGAAAGGTAACCCTTTCAAAAATAGCCCATATTTCAAAAAAATATTTTTTAAATTAAATTTTCAAACCTATAAATTCCTTCAACATTTATTCCACGCCTTTCTACTTCATCTATACAATGTAGCAAAGGAGTTGGTACACGCACTCCATGTGCTAAACCTTTAAAATTATTTGTAAAACGTTAAAAATCAAAAAATACAAAGTGTTGTTAAATCAACAGCAAACATCCTTTTAATATATTTTGCTTCTGGACGACAATCTGGACGTGATTTTTCACTGCATTTGAGATGAGCTGAGAATCCACAATCCAAACAACGAACACCCTAAACTTTTAAAATAAATCACTCATCAAAATAGTACTAAATTCAATTTTTCTTTTAAAAATTGGAACTTATATGGTTTGGGTACTCTTTTTTTAGCCACGCCCTTTTTCCTTTTCCATCATTATTCTTTTACTCTTCTTCCCTCACCCATCAATCAATTGAGTTGAGGTCAATTTTTTGTTTAAAATAAAGAGAGAAATAGAGCTCACTCGGATGACATTATCGAGCTGGGCTGAGACGAATGGCACTAAATTCGGTCCGTGAGATCTCTGAGCTGAATTACAGGGGTCCAAAAATTTCTAAAAGGGGTAAAACGGTCGGCATTTTGTAAAAAATATGATTTTAAACACGCAAAAACTGGAAAACACAATAAAATACCGGACCATTAGTTCCAAAACGTAGAACCGGGATACCTATTGCTATTAAAATAATCGAAATAGATAAAAATAAGAATATTGATTCAAATGTTAATTCCATTTTGGTGAAATTGGAAAGGAAAATTAATCTTTTCCTTGTTAATGTCTCTCACTGAAAATGCCACAGGAAAAGTTAAGTAAAATCGAGGAAGAAAGAAAGGCTGACCATTCTGTCCATATTAAGGTTGATTGATGATGGAAGAGGAAAAAAGGGCGTGGCTAAAAAAAGAGTACCCAAACCATATAAGTTCCTAAAAATTCCAAAACCTGTTGCACCAATCCCCAAAGAAAATTTCTACAAAAATCGCAATAATGCGGCATTTTGAAGGTAAAAGAAGTAAAATTGTGACAACGAGGAGCTATTTGACGTTGTTTGTCAGAATTGTCAAGTTCCGGTGCTCGATGATAATGAGAGTAGGGGCCTAAAAGTAAATTTTGGTGAGACAATAAGTTGACATTTAAAATAATAAAGACCCACTAAGTTCATAGACAGCCTCATCCGCCATCTAAAAAATATTTTTAATTAAAAAAAATTTAAAAAATCAAAAACATACACTATTAATGTAGCTAGAAGCATGTTCCGCTACATACATGTTTATCAGTCCATCCTCCACCAGAATTTCGATCGAATCATATCTGTAAAAAATTTTAATTAAAATAATTTCGTAAATAATTCGACTATAAATACCTTTTAATCCCAACATAATGAGCACCATCATAAAATAATTTATAATTTTGTACAACCCCTTCAAAAACAACATGGAGCGTAAAAGCACCTTCAGAACGTCTAGAGGCACGAACTAAAAATGCTCCTTCACCCACTGCTAATACAAGCTTAAAAATAAATTTTAAGATTAAAAAAATACTAATAAATAAACAATAGGCTGACTGAAAATTTTAAGATTTTTGGATTGGCTTGAAAGCAAACTATAGTTTTAACTAATATTTTGAGGATATACAAGGGAAGCAGGCCTGTAGCCAGGGGGCGCAGGAAATTCACTTTTCCTGCGTCGCTGAAAAAGTGAATTTTTTGGCCCACGGTCTTTTAAAATTCTTTCAATTTTGGCCTATAGCGCCAAAAATTCGGCGCAGTCAAAAAACCTATTAAAAATGTTTTTGTAAATCCCAAAGATTGTTCGTACTTATAAAAATAACGCTGAAAAAATATTTCGAACCCCCCCCCCCCCCCTAATTTTCCTCCAAAAAACCCCTTTTTTCTATTTATTTAAAAAACCTTTTCCGCCTCTTCTCGATCAATAAATCCATGAAATTCTTTTCCATAGTAATAAGGCTTATCGACTATTTTTTGTTGGCAAATAACCATTATTGGCTTCGGGGCTTTCTCTTGCAACTCCATTAATTTAGTTTTCCAATATCCAACAGTTTCCTCGTCTTCTTCCATTTTTTTGGTATATTAATTGAAGTATATTTAATTGAATTTGACTAAAAACGAGAAAAAAAATTTTTTAAATTTAGTTGAAATTTCGGTAAAAAAATTTTTTTAAATATGTTTTTGTTTCAGGATTAATAAATGGGACACGGCCAAAACAACACACGGCCATAACAACGCAAAGCCATAACTTGCTTCAAAATTTCCAAATCTTTCCAAATTTAGTATTAAACGATTCCTCTCATCGAGCTAAAGAGCTTGGTACCAAAATTGTCAAGGATCAAAAATTTTTCAGCTAGTTATGGCTTTGCGTTGTTATGGCCAGCGTTATTTTGGGCTGACCCTTATTAAATTTTTTTTATTTTCTTGGCTTTAAAAATATCCGGTTGAGTGCATAAAGTTAAAAGTCTTCGATTTTCTTTAGTCCCCAAACATAACTTTTAAAAATTTTTTTAAACTTTTCCTATCATTTGATAGCTCTTTTTCCACTGATTATTTTATTCAAAAGAATCTATATTATCTAATCATTCTTAAAACTTTATTTCGTTACGTATATTTTAAAAGTTCAGTTCAACAAACTTCTCCCCCCTTCTCCCCCCAAACACTCAACTTCCGCGCTCAACTGTTTTCTTTACTTTAAAATTATTTAGAAAACGGCAAAAAGAGAAAATGGCACAAAACGACGTCACATGTTTATATATTGAGCGCTTATCCAAGTAAATTGAGACGCATTATGTGCTTAAAAATATGTCTAAAATCTTTATGTTTTTTTAAAAATAAGCTTTATAATTCGATTTTATTTTATTAAATATTTGGCCGAAAAGACAATTCGTCGATTATTTTTTTAGTAGTTTTTGAAAGATTTTTTCACATTTTTAATAACTTTTAGGTAGTTAAATAATTTTTTCTAATTTTTTAAACTTAATTTTGCCAAAACTAAACAATTTTTACTTCTCTTAGACAACAAAGATCCCTAAAAATTTACTTTTCGGTGAATTGTAGATACCTCGATTTTCCTGATTAATTTTATTTAAAATACATATTTTAGAAACATAATTAAATATGTTACAATTTTATTTATTAAATTATTTAAAATTTAAAAATCAACATTTTCTAAAAAATAATTTTAATATTATAAATATTTAGTTAATAACAACAAAAAAATTATTTTAAATTAGAAAATGTTAATTAAAGAGTATAGAATACCTTTACCGTTAACAGCAGAAGAATATCAAATTGCACAGCTTTTTATGATTCAGGTTTAGAATTTTTTTCTATTTAAAATATCTTCCCTCTAGACAGCTTTCTCAAATTAGGGAAGGGTCTGGGTCAGGTACGTACCCAGTTTTTTTCGGGGGAGGGGCAGAGGGTATCATTATAGGCGCCAGAAATTGACGTTTATAAATAAACCCCCTGGTTGTGGGCCTGGTCGGGGTTACTTGGATCTCGAACTTTCTTCAACCCAGGGACTTTAACTCAATCTGAAGAAAAATTTGAAACCCCTACTTTTTCTCAACTACCCTTCTCCCCAATTCGACGGATTGGGGCAAATCGGAAACTCATTTAGTTTTAAAATAAAACTAATAAACTTAAAATGTGTCTTATTCTTTTTCAATTTAAGAAAAAATCTCGATTAGAAAGCTCAGGTGTTGGAAGTGGTGTTGAAATAATTAAAAATGAGCCCTACAGCGATGGTCCTAATGGCGATTCTGGTCAATATACTTTTAAAATATATCATATTGGAAATAGAATTCCAGGTTTTTTTCAAAAAAGATTTTATTGTTTTTATCACTCTTTCTGTCATTTTTACAAAATCCGCAAGTTTTTGCGGACACGAATTGCGGACATTTCCTTTGAAAATATAATTAACTCGAAATTTATCCAAAAATTATCAACTTTTTTTAGTTTGGATTCGCAACATTTTACCTTCATCTGCACTTGAAGCTCACGAAGAATCATGGAATTCTTACCCTTATACACGTACTCGATATTCTTGCCCGTTGATCTCACATTTTAGTGTTGAAGTTATTTAAATTTATTTTTCAATATAAAAAATTATTTTTTAGGTTGAAACGAAGTATTTAAATGATTCTGGTAATTCAGAAAATGTTTTTAATTTAAGTCAAGATGAACTCAAAAATCGGGTTATTGGTATTTTTTACTTTTTTTCTAACAATAAGTCACTTAATTATTTTTTGGGTAATAGTGTCGTTGCCGGGCCCCTTTTTTTCTGCCGAAATTTTTTCTTTCAGTTATACAGAATAGTCAGACTTTTTCTTTCCTCTCAATTGCCTTTTTATATTTTGCCTGCAAAAAGTCAAAGAGGATTAATTTTGTATTTAGTTCGTTCACAAGGATAAAAAACTGTAACATTATGCCTGACCATTCTGTATAGATATAGGAAAGAACTTTGGGGAGAAAAAGGGGGGCCCGGTAACGACCATTATTACCATTTTTTGTTATCTTATTCTTTAGCTTTTTTGTAAGCTTAATTTTTGAGACCATAATTCTCATCCGCAAATTAAAAAGTAAACATTGCGGACAGTTTTTGCGGATTTTTTTTTAAATTTGCGGACATTAATTTAAAAATAATTTTTTAGATGTTATCGATTTTGTCCGTGATCCAATTTCTTCTCATGATTATTTGGCAGAAGAAGATCCAAAAATATTTAAATCATTCAAAACTGGTAGAGGCCCTTTAAACGAATGTTGGATTGAAAATTGTATTTTAAATAAATTACCTTTAATGTGTGCTTATAAATTGTGTAAAGTAGAATTTAAATATTGGGGGTTACAAACACGTGGAGAGAGGTGGATACATGAATTGGCGTTGAGGGTAATTTATTTTGGCAATTTATGGATGGAAAGGGGGAATTGTAACTGAAAAATGGGGTGGGGGATATGGGATATGAACAAAGTACCTAAATTTTAATTCATTTTGGATAAAAAATAATAGAATTTTAAAAAATCAGAATTTTTGATATGTAAAAATTTAATCATAATTTCGCAAAATAATTAGATCAGAATTTTTATAAATAATTTACTTTTACCTATTTTAAATATCTTTAAAAAATAATTTTTTTATTAAAGGGTACCATGCTTCGTGCTCACCGTCAGGCCTGGGTTTGGCAGGATGAATGGTAATTTTTAATTTAATTTTTTTTCAAATTTAATTTTTAAAAAAGGTATAATCTAAAAATTGAAGATATAAGAAAATTAGAAAATGAGACAAAAGAATATTTGGCAGCATTAATGACACCTAGAGAAGAAGAAGAGGAAGAAGTTGAAGAAGAAAATAAAGAAGAATTAAATTTAAAAAATAAATTAAAAAAAGAAAAAGAAGAGAATCAACAACTTTCTTGTTCAAATTCAGTTTCTGATATTTTCTTTGATTGTTCTGATAAATTTGAAGAAAGGGAGGAAGAAGAAGGGCCGCCAGGCAGAACTACTTTGGTGAAAAATTTTTTTGAATAGATTTGTGAAATTTTAAAATTTTGTTTTGGAAAATTTTTAAAAAAATGTTAAAAATGAATAAAAAATTTTAAAAAAGGTAAAAAATGGTCAAAAATTAAAATTAATTTTTTAAAGGTTCGTTGGAGTTCAGAATTATTATTAAATGAGGATGATGGAGAAAAATCCCCACCACGAACACCACGTCCTTCAAATAATCGTTTTTTGCTTATTCTTGTATTTCATGGAGATTTATTTCCGACTGTAAAAAATTTTAAGATTTTTTTAAAAATTAATTTATTTTTAATTTTAAAGAAATCGGCAGACTCGAAAATTACAGACACAAATACTTTACGTTCTACATTAGAAAGTTTAATTAGTTGTCATTATTCACAACTTAAGGGGCGTATAAATGTTCAGGTGAAAATAAAACAGAATAATATATTTAAATATTAGATATATAATAAATATAGATATATAATAAATATTAGATAATAAATAATATTAGATAATAAAATAATAAATATAGATATATAATAAATATTAGATATATAATAAAAAATATTAGATATATAATAATAATATATTTAAATATTAGATATATAATAAATATATTTAAATATTAGAGGAATTACAAATTAGTTTTGTAATTCTGTTTGAGAAAATTACAAATCAGAATTTTACAATTATTTTCCTTTATTTTCGCAATTTATTGGAAAACGAAATTAAACAAAAATGATATTTGAAGCATTTCCGGAAAAACACACGATTCTGAAAATACATTTAAAGTTCCGGAAAATATTTAAATTTATATTCTCCGGAAAATACAAATTATAAAAGTCAACCCCATAAAATATAGTTTCCGGAAATTATTGTGATTTACTTTTCCGGAAAATACAAATCGGATATAATAAAAAATTACAAATCAGATTTTAAAAAATTGTAAATCAGAATTACAAATTAATATATAACTTTACAAATCAGAAATTATTCTTTTCTTTTTTTTGTAGTGTGTCACTTGTGGCAGCGAATTCGAATCCCTTGCTCATTTATTAAATTCTCTTTCTTCATCTTTTGGCAATTTTCACCCCTCAATAGCCCAGTTATTAGCTTCAGATGTCTGTACATTTAATGCTTGTGTCACTCAATCAATTATCACAGCAAATAAAGTTTTTCGGAATTTTTTGAATTCTGAGGCCGGAAGGATTTTTGAAGAGTGTGGGGAAGGGGGAGAGATTTTTCTTGTTGGAGATTTTATTGGAGGAATTATTTTATATGAAGCTTTAGCTAGAAGTATGTCTGCAACAACAAATAAAAATAATAATGAAATAAATAATGATTTGGAAGTTAATTATCGAACAAATAGAGTATATAGCCATTCTTCTTCTCCTAGCGTTAATAAAAATAATAATAACAATAGTAGTAGCAATAGCCGTTCAAAGTCTCCTTTATCTGCTGGAAAACAAGGAAATTGTAGCAAAGAGGCAAGTTTAACTTTTTTTCAAATCAGAATTTACTTTGAAGACTTTAAGTAAGAAATAACCAGAATTTACTTAAATTTTAAAAAATCAGAATATTTACAATCAGAATTTGTAGTTTTAAAAATCAGAATATAATTTCAGAATTCTGTCACCACTACTAACACTTCACATTCCTATTCTCTATCTGCTGGCGCTGCAGATTCTCCAAGTATTTACAGTGGCGGCTCTTCAATATTTAGTTTTGACAACAAGAAAACTCAACAACAAAGACGAGGTTGTTCGCCTTCTCCTTCTGTTGCAACAGTTGATAAACCGTCAAATAAAGCTGCTTTAGCAAGTCGACAAGCTTCTACAAATTCTTCTGTAATTATTTTAAAATCAGAATTTAATTCGAAATTTTCTGAAAAATCAGAATTTTTAAATTTTTTAGCAAGAACCTTCACATTTTGCATTAACCAGAAAGACAACTGAAGTCTCAAGTGACGTTCTTGATTTTCACCCAACTGCTGCTTTTTTACTTGGCTGTCCTTTAGCCTTGTTGTTAACACAACGTCAATTACTTGGTCCTAAAAATTCTTTTTTTTCAAAATTTATTTTTTAATTAAAAGACGAGCATCAAAATTTTTCATTAGCTTGTGACCAATTATACAACCTTTTTTATCCTCTCGATTTGTGCGGGGCAAGATTAGAGCCTGTTCTCAACCCCAATTTGGCTCAATTGCCAGCACCCAAAGTACCACGCTATCAACGTTTTCATTTACTTGGAGATGGAAATGATATTCACTTTGATGCAGCAGGTTCAGCCACTCCAATGGTTTGGGGAAGTCGTCGAGTTGACCACGAATTGTATTGCCCTCCAGAGATGAATACACTCCCAGCTTTGGCTTTACCAAATATTTTACATGTTTCTTATTGGGAATCTAAGGATGTTGGAGCTTTTATTCTGAGAACATTTTTGAGATTTGATGACACTCCAGGATTGTCTACAACAAATATTAAAAATTTGGCAGACTTTCCACCATTAAATTTTCAAATGCCTTTGAGTATTTGGAACAGGCGCAGGACACGTTTTAAGGCTAGAAAAAATCAGAATTAATTATATATTATTTTTACAGGTTGCAAACTTAGCAGCTAATCATCGAGCTAACGATTTATTAGTTGTTGCCGATGCTGAAGAACAGATAGTCAATGCTCGTTTTTGTTACGGACCAATGGATTTGGTTGCTTTATCACAAGAGAATGTGCTTGTTTATGTTTTGCCTAGTGGGGGAGAATGGACATTACGGGGAATGGAAACAACGGACAAACATGGGAGGCTTTCAATTGATTTGGGGAAGAGTTTGCCTGTTGGTATACACCATGTTAGGTTGATTGTACAGGGAGATCGTGAGTTTTTTCATTGATTAAAATTCTGGTTTCTCCATTTTTATGCAAAAGTTAAGTTCTGATTTCTGTTAGGAAATTCTGATTTTTAGGCATAATAAAAAGTATTTCTGTTTGTAAAAAATTCTGGGATTACCCCCTACTTTTGTACAATGGTAAAATTCTGATTTAAAACTTATTTCAGATACCTTCCTTTCTGTAAGCATTGCAGTTGTTCTAAAAGGTACCCCAATTGTTGTTTTTAGTATTGATGGGTCTCTTACAGCTTCTGTTTCTGTTGTAAGCTTATTTTTATTTTTAAATTGAGAAAAAATTTCTTTAGACAGGGCGTGATCCGAGATTGAAACCGGGGGCAGTTGATGTTGTTAGATTTTGGCAGCAACAGGTGATGATTCTGATTTTTAAGAAAAATTCTGATTCAAAACGAAATCTGAATTTAAGAAAAAATAGTTAAAAATCTTCATAAAAAATTTTTTTTTTAATTTAAAGGGATATTTAATTATTTATTTAACTGCTCGTCCTGATATGCAACAACGTTTAGTTAGTGCCTGGTTAGCCACTCACAATTTCCCTCACGGTCTACTATTCTTTACCCCTTCATTGTCTACAGAACCGCTTAAACAAAAAATGTTATTTATGAAACATTTGACAGATATTGGGTTGTGTGTACAGGCAGCTTATGGAAGTACTAAAGATATTCCGGTAAATAAATATTCTTTCCAACTTTATTTTCAGAACAAACAAAAATAGAAATTTTTCTCTCTTACAAATGAAAATATTTCTCTCTTTTTATATTAAAATTAGAATTTTGTTAATTTTCATTTTTCTAAACAAAAATCAGAATTTTCCTTTTTTTAAGGTTTATTCAAATGCCGGTTTGGATCCAGAACGCATTTTTAGAGTTGGCGGCGGTCATCGACGCAAGCACACTTTGGATTGTGTTTCTTTAGAGAATGGATATTCCCCTCATTTACATGATTTACATTCTGGTAAATTTAAATTTAATTCTTTTGCCATACTTATCTCCTATTAATCACCTCCTAAGCAACCTTTAAAATTTTATATTAAATTTTTAAGGACGTATAGAAATAGCCCAACCAGCCTCATATATAGTTGTTGGACATTCTAATTTAAATAATTCTTTTGGAATAAAAATAGAAGAGCATTCAACATTAGATACACAAAATAACAGCAATAATATATCAACAACAACAACAACCTCAATACATCAACAACAGCAACGATCTCCTATGCAGCGAACTTTAAGTTTTGGACCTCGTACGGGAAAATACAATTGCTCTAAGAAAATAAGCCAAACATCCTCTTTGTCCACAAATTAAGAAAAAGATTTTTTGAGAGTTTTTCGGGGATTTAATTATTCGAGAGGCCCAGTCCGCCGTGAAGCTATAGCTACATTTAAAGATTCTGATCCATACGTAGAATCATACCAAACACTCTTTATAGGTCCAATTTTCATTAAATTGGTTAGAAGCTTTGCGTTAAGACTGGCGCTGGGTTTACCCGAGAAAAACATTCCTCCTATAAAACTTCACTCCTTTCCCATTTTTACTTATACTATAGCCGAAGCTCTATAACGTTATCTCCTCGAGCCGGATTACACCGACGTAAGAAGCTAAGTAACTTGGGAGGGAATGTCAAATCAGGCAAACACTTCCCTCAGAATCAGAACCGTATTGAGCGGATATATGAGAAGGGGGAAGGGATATTTTTTGAGAGAGAGGAGACGACGTTATTGAGAGCTTCCATTTTCTTATTCTATACCTTAAAATTATAGAAATTATTAACATTTCTTAATTATTTCCCTTCAAATTACATTCCTTTATTGGCAACTTTCTTTTAATTTCCTTTTCATTTTCTTTACCCTTAGCCATAATTCTCTCTTATATCCTATGAGCTTTATTTTCGTTTTTTTTCCTTCCACTATAGAAATTTATTTTTGAAATTTTGATTTAAAATAATCACAAAAAATTTTTCTTTTTTTAGTTATTGTGATAGAATTTGCTAAATAAATTTTTTAAATTAAATAAAAATTAAATAAAATACACTATGTACATAACTGTGCATGCATACACATTAATTAATATGTGCAAACACACGCTAATTTCGGTTACAATAATTAGACAAGGAAGGCCGACAATTAAAAATAAACAAATAAATATTATTTTTTTGTTATTTATTTTTTGCCCTTGGGAAGGTAAAAAATTATTTGATTGCCTTTATCTGACTTTTATTTTTAAAAAATGGTAGGTATGAACATATTGGCGTTCATTTTTGCTCTTGTTATTTTTTATCTATTTTTAGTAAGTAAATATGTAGATAAATGTAAAAATGATTTACATAAATAGTATATACAAAAAGAACTGTTAAAAATTGTAAATTTTATGTAAAGAGAAATCAAAATTAAATTTAATACTTTCAGAATTTTTTAAAATTAGACCACAATATCATCCATTTTCTGATTTTCTCTAAATTTATTTCTTTTTCTTTAAATTTTTTTTAAATAAATATTACATACATATTCTGAAGGATCTTTCGATTATTCTGATTTTTAAAAATTTTTCTGAAATTCTATTGACTAAGTTCTGATTTTATTTTCATAAATTTATGATTTTTCTCTCTTCATTAAATTACAATTTTCTGATTTCTAAACATTTCCTTTTAATTTTAAATTTAAATTAGACCACACACAAAGATGACACTTTTTTGTAAAAATACACAGTTCCTCTTCCTCTTATCCGAATATAATTTAAATGTGTTTTGGAAATAGAGAAAGGTCAATCCCTTTGCAAATACACATTCTCTTTTTTGACATTTCCCTTATATTTTTAACCAAAAATGGATATAAGCGTCGTTTTTCATCTTTTTCTGTCCCCCCACAATTTTTTTTCTTATTTTATTTTTTATTAAAAAGGAAGAGGGGGAAGAATGGTCATTTTGATGAGGGGGAGCTATCCTTCCCCATCTCTTCATTCTTTTTCATCTCCATTTTCTTATTTTTTCTTTTATTTCCTCTCATATCTTTAAAACTAAATGAGGTATATATAGAAAAATAAAGAGCCTTTTAAGCAAAAAATGAGGGAAATATCCTCCCCTCCTCCCTTATCTTTCCTCTCTCCCTCCCTTTCAATAAAGTAAAAAAACGTGTGGTTGTGCCGGTTTGTGGTTTGGTTTGTGTGTGCCGTCTCTTGACTGTTTTTGTCGGTTTTTTAATACTTTGAGGGAGGGAATAAATGAGGGGAAAGGCCTCCTCATCTTTATAGGGAGGAAAGGCTCTCTTTGTTTGTGTTTTTGGCAAAATGGGGAGAAAAAGTAAAAAAAATTGTTTAAATAAAGTAAGGGAGGGAGAGAGTTAGGCACCGGTGTATATTTAAATGTTTTTAATGTTGATGGTCATTTTGTGAGAGAATATGTAGGGGGATGTATGAGAAATGTGGTAACATGATACCTAAGGACAAACAATTAAATAAAATTCTGAAATATTCTGATATTTGTTTTGTTTAATTCTGTTTAGTTAACTTAAATTCTGGTTTTATTCTGATGTTATTCCACTAAATTCTGTTTTGTTCTGATTTTATTTTATTAAATTCTGGTTTTGTTTGATTCTGATTTTTCTGATTCTCGTTTATTCTGATTTTTGTTTTGCTAAATTTCTGGTTTCTGACTATATATCACCAAAGGTTCTGAATTTATTCTGATTTAGTTTTATTTTAATAAATTCTGATTTTATTTTAAACTTTAATTTTTTTAGTTACAATTTTTGATTGTTCTTTTTAGATTTTTCAGAATCTTTAAACTCTCCGTTGTGCCAACAAATAATTTTTAAACTTCAATTTATTTGAAGCCCTCCTTCTCTATTTGGGTCAGAGGTCATTCACCATTCAATAGCTTTATTAGTCAATTTCCCTTCCATCATTTTTTTATTTTTACCCAAACATAACTAGTAGTAAGTAAAGCCTTTCCTCAATAATTCTCTCATTTTCTTTTATTTGCATCAGTCAAAATATTTTTTTATTTACTCAAATTTAAATAAGAGAATAAATTTCCCAAGTATTAATGTACTACCTTCATTTCTTTTATTTGGGTATTTATTTAATCATTTGGCTTTTCATTTTTAAATTTATGTATGTATATATTCTGTTTAAATCGTATTATTTGCCTTTTCTTTATTTTCAGAAAATTAGAAAATAAAAATTCTGTTTTCAAACCCAGAATTTTTTGAATAAAAACAGAAAAGAAGGCTACTAAAACCTTTCCTCAATAATTCTGAAAAAAATAATTACAAATAAATTATGATGGTATAGATTACAAAAATACAAATAAAAAAAATACATTATTACTTGTCTTTTTGTAAAAATCAGAATTTTTACATATGTACATATAATAAAATACAAAATTCTGTTTTCACTAGTGGTCATTTAAATAATGTCGGTAATTTATTGTTCTTTAAACTCTCCAATAAATTTTCAATTTTTAATCTTTTATCATCCCTTATCAATAAAATTTTCGTCAGACAAAAATGCTCATATATTTTTCCTTTTATTTTTATAGGGAAAATGTTTGGGAGAGGGGGGGGGGTCAATCAACCTATTTATTTTTAAATAGTAAAAAATATTTTTAAGTAATCCCTCTAATAATGCGCTCTTCTTTTATTATTCATTCAACCGAAAATTTAGCCATTTTGTGTTTGTTGAACGGTCTGTAATAAAGCGCTCACAAAATAACGAGGAATAATATACATATTATTACTTGCCAATAACAATATTTTGAGTACTTTAACGATATAATAAGTAGGTGCGGCTAAAAATTCTGATATATTTTACAAATTACAACTTCTGATTTTTAAGCATTGAATATTCTACAAATTCTGATTATACCTATCACATTCTTCTTTTGGATTTACAAATTCTGATTTTCTATAAAATACAAATTCTGATTCTTTAATAAATTCTGATTATACATACCTCTCATATGTTTTTATTTACAAATTCTGATTTCATATAAAATACAAATTCTGATTTTATATAAAATACAAATTCTGATCTTTATTTTTACAATTTCAATTTACCTATAGATTCCCAGGTGTCTAATTAGCTTTTTTGCTTCTTTAATTGTTCATTATTTTTAATTATATTTTTCTTTAAAATTATTCGCGCATAAAATATATTTTTTAATTTAGTCCCAAAAATAATAGTCAATGATATTCTTAGTAAGTCCTTCAGTTTTCATTAATTTTCTTCTTTCCACACTTTATTTATCCCAGCAATCAAATCCATCTCCAATTTTTTCGCTTCAACTGTCAACTTTGCCAATAAGATTTTCTACCACAAAACACTTTGTGCCGCTTACTCAAAGAATGTCATCACATTAATTTTTTGTATTTTTTTATGATTTTCTTTTTTTGGTATCAAAAATATTTTTTCTTTTTTTTTCGCTTTTCATTTTAGAATTTTTGATTAGGATTTTAATCCTAGAGAAGTAAATTCCCTCAACCCCCAACCTAATAATAATAATAATATCCTTCCAAATATCCTTTCAAATCCTTCCCCCCATTCTCTTGGGGATGTTCTCTATATTATGAAAGGACTGACTGTGTCCAGTCATCGACTCTAACAAAAACACTCAATGCCATCCATCCATGTATTTATATCCCCCCATCCATCAGGAATGGTGGAAAAACTCATTACGCGCTTGTCCTGTGTGTGATGGATAGCCTTTTGCAAGAAGGCATTAATATATCTTATGAAAAGGCATGAGGGATATATATTATACTCCAATTTTATATTTAATGTCCACACATTAAAAATAAATTTTGCGGATTGAATCTTTTAGAAACATTAAATAACAAATCTTTTAATATCAGAAAATTTAAAGTAAAATACAAACTAAAATAGTACTTGAAGCATAAAATTGTGTTTTCTAGAAAACACAATACTTCCGGAAAACACATGCTTAAAGCACAATATAAATTCCCAGGAAAATACACTTATTATTCTGTAAACTTAAGTTTCGGACAAACACAAAAATAGCGTAAATTAATTACTAAAATTTAAAAACTTTCCGGATATGTTATTCATCATCAAACTAGAATTTTCGGAAAATATCAATTTTAGAATTATACAGAAACTAGGGTTTCCGGATATTACTATACTTATTTTAAGACATCAAAAATTTTAGTAAAAAAGATCTCGAATTATTGCAAGAACTTGAGTAAATTTAAGTTTTCGGGTATCTAATTTGTTAACTAACAAATTATTGCTTTCCTGAATTTAAAAACAGAACCTAAAATTTCCGAAAAATACTAAATAAAATATAAAACTTGGTAAAATCAGAATTTTCTTCTTCAACTAATTTCAACTGTTTTAAACACATTTCGCTAACCAAATTTCCAATTTATTCTTTCCTTCCCACACAAACCACCAATGGCGCCACCGGCTGGCCTTTTCTGGCATTTTTGTTGTGTCCATTGCCGGCACTGTTTTCATTGTTTCCTAATAAAATTACGGCTGGCTGGTGCAGAGAGTCTATGGCCTTGGCTAGTCCTCTTTTCCTTCCTCTTCACTTCTTTATTACTCATTCATACGTTAAATTTCATTGTCCTTTAATTTCCCTCCATACCTCATTCATTTTTGTTTCATCTTCACTCTGAAATTCACACCAAAATTTTGAGACCAAAGAATTTTGTTTTTAACAAAATATTTTTTTAGATTATAAATTATTATTTTTTTGAAATCTTAAAAAATGTTACAACAATTTTATATTCACCGCCAATTTATTTTACTTCAGGTAATGACGAGAATTATTTTAATTATTAAATATTTGTTTTTAATTAAGATTATTGCCTTTCTATTCTCTCAATGGATAACATCTCCGCTCGTTTACGCAGATGCAGAAGTTAACCGGCATCTTTTTTATGATACAAGTCAAATAAATGGTAGGCCATTTTTCCACAATATTAATCTAAGATTTACATATCTAGAAATCTTTCTAAATTAAATTCAAAAAAATAATTTTCCGGAAACTTATGTTTTCTGGAAATTTGGTAAAAAAATCAATTTTATCCTTCTCCGGAAAAAATAAACTAAGTTTCTTCCTGAAACCTAATAAATAAATTTATTCTTTTGGTAAACTTCTCAAGGAAAATTTTTAAATAAATTTATGACTATCCGGAAAACTTGAATTAATAAAAATTTTGCATGTTTACTAATAAACTATAACTTTAAATTTATACTTATATTTATTCCAATTTTTAATCAAAACAGATGGTAACATCAAAACATGTATTACTAATGCCGTTCAGCGTATTAATAATGAAACTTGTATTCTTTTGCGAGAACAGCCTTCAGAATCGAATACAATCTTTCGACACAACAAAACTTCATCCATTTACTTCTCTCAAAGTGATCGAGGACTGTGTGGAGTAGATGCTGATAATTCTAGTTTAATTTATTTGAACAGGGAATGTGTGACTAATGTGGGGGAATTTGTTAAAATATTTAATAAATTTTTTCTAAAAAAGGATCCAAATGCCTGTATTCACTTAATCTCAAAAGCATTAACTGGCCGTAAAGCGGTAACGGCAAATGTTTTTTCTCTTCTAAATGAGCATTTTGAATGTAATGGTGAGTTTATTGTTTAATTTTAAATTATATCATATGAATATAAGGGTACAGCCCGAAATGTCGCGCGGCCATAATGTCGCCAAGCCATAACTTGCTAAAAAATTTCTGGCCCTTATCAATTTTGGTACCAATCTCTTTAGCTCGATGAGAGGAATCGTTTAATACTAAATTTAGAAAGATTCGGAAATCTTAAAGCAAGTTATGGCTCGGCGACATTATGGCCGCGCGACATTTTGGGCGTGTCCCTGAATATAATAATTTTTTAACTCAGACAGAAAAAAACTTTAGAGGTCACAGTTTGGTTTTTACGACTGTTTAATTAAAAAAAATTTGTTCGCAAATTTTTTGCGGACAAATTTGAAAAATAAAAAAATGATTTTCAGATATGTACCTTAAAAATAAATTAATTTTCCTTCTTTTTTAAAATTTAATTTTAAAAATAATTTTTACTTTAAAGATCATTGCCAAATAAGTTGTTTAAATGGGGGGAAACTTGATTTTGGTAAATGTGATGATTGTAATTGTCCGTTTAATGGACTTTTTGAGGGGCAAACTTGTGATGAATTGGTTAAATTGGGAGAATATACAGACGAGGCTTGCAAAACTTTAATTGTGGGCACGGAAGAATGGAATGGAGAATTAAAGCTTAAGTAAATCTCTCAATAAATTTTGAAATAATTTCAAAAAATTATTTAGAGCCCCAATAAACGAAAAAACTTATTGCCAAATTATGTTGGTAGCAGACGATCCTTGGGCAAAATTGGAAGTTGAATTTGCAAGTCTGGATATGAGTAGACGTGCTTTTGGGGCTATTGACTGTCCTGACAGATTATATGTATATTAATTTTAACTAGAAAATTTTTGTTAAATAAACTTTTAGGTTTATGGCCTAGAAACAGCTCCAATGAAAAGGTAATTCTGAAATTTTAAAATCAGAAATTTCTGATAATTCTGATTTTTAAATTTAATTTTTAATTTAAGCATAAAATGCAATTCTGTGGATGACACAAAACCTCGAGAGCATTTCTTCTCAAAAAGCAATTTTCTCCTCTTTCAATTAGAGGCCAACCGTTTTGATAAAAAACCACGTGCTGGGCCTATTATTCGTTACACGCTTCGACCTGCAGCTTATTCTGCTGGTAAGGAATTAATAGAAACTACAATCAGAATTATTTTACAAATTTAAGCAATTCGCACACAACGCGCCTCAATCCACTCTCAAAACTATGCTGACGAGACCATCGATAATGAAATCGCGGAAGGCTCTTCCGATTCAAGTTTAGGGTTTTTAAATGGAATTGGAGGGACTAAAATTGCCGTTATTGCTGTTGTTTTGGCTTGCATTTCTGCTATTTTGGTTTTGGCAGCTTTCGCGGCATTTGGCCGTAGAAGGAGAATTTTACGCAATCGACGATATCGTCATCATGTAAATTATTTAATTTTTAACAAAATTGTTTCAAGAAATAAAAAAAGGGTTGTATTATCAGAAACCTAAGTTTCCAAAGTTATTACAAAGAAATTATATTTTCCTGAAATTCTAGATTATGTTTACGGAAATAATTTTAGTTAAGAGTTGTATTTTCGGAAACCCATTTTCCTAAATTAAATATAAAAATTTTTTGTGTTTTCCGGAAACTTAGTTTTTGAATAGTTCTAGAAAACTTGTATTTTTAATGAAATACAGAATTTATAGCTCTGATAACAATTTTAGATACAATTTTCTTTTCAGAAAATAAAATATTTTTATTTTAGCAAAATAATGGAAGCAACGGAACTAGCAGCAGCGATAAAAGACGCAATTCTTGTGCTTCTTCTGTAAAGTCTGGAGAAAAGGTAACAACAACAAACGAAATTGAAGAGCCGCCAGCTACAAATGGAGTCCATACAACCAACACAACTTCAACAATTTCTGGAGTTTCTGGGGGAGGAGGGGGTGTTGCTAATTTGTAAAAAGTAATAAAAAGGGAAAGAAAAAAATGATTTTTTTAAAATAATTATTTAAAAATGTTTTTCCTCAATTTCTATGCAGGAATTTTTTAACCTTCAAATTTTAACAATTTTTTTTTGATTTAAAAAAAATTTTTTTTGATTTTTGATTTTTTTTTTCATTAAATTCTTTCATTTTTTAGTAAATAATTAGAGGCCAGATTGGGAGAGTCATGCGAAAACCGGGATTTTTTATCAAAATCTTGTCTCGATCTGGTCTCTAGCAATAATTTCCCTCAGGCATATATTTTTCTAAGCTTTCTCTTTCTTAATTTAAAAATCCTTTTTTTCCATTTTCAATGTAAAAATTTAACAAAATTTTATGGCATTGTTTTTCTATAAAAAAGAGTGCCATAAAATTTTAATATGTTTCATAAAAACAAAATTTTCTTGCTTTATTTGATTACAAAAGAATAAAATACATAGTAAATATCAGAAATAAAAAGACTATAAATAATTAAAAATTAAAATAAATTTAAAGGTAATTTTTCAAAAACTAAAATGAAATTGTGGGTACTTTACTGAATTAAAAAATTAAAATTTCTGTATTTTCCGGAACAGAGATGGGCGAAAATAGAATTTTGTCCTCAACGAAACGAAAACGAAAAAAATAAAATCATCAATGTACGAAACGAAAACGAAACGAAAAATTAAATTTAGTTTTTACGAAACGAAAACGAAACGAAAAATTAAATTTAGTTTTTACGAAACGAAAACGAAACGAAAAATTAAATTTAGTTTTTACGAAACGAAAACGAAACGAAAAATTAAATTTAGTTTTTACGAAACGAAAACGAAACGAAAAATTAAATTTAGTTTTTACGAAACGAAAACGAAACGAAAAATTAAATTTAGTTTTTACGAAACGAAACGAAAACCATGAAAAATCCACGAAAATCACGAAAAACGAAATGAAACGAAAATTTTCGCCCATCTCTGTTCCGGAATTGCTTGAGAATACTATTCAGTATTTACTGTGATACATAAATTACAGAAAAAAAGGAAAATATTAAAACAATTCTCAAACATATTTTCAATTAATTTTTAAATCAGAATTATTTTTATTTAATGAAAGGAGAATAAAACAATCGGGAAAATAAAAAGGCGCTTAATTTATTTTCTAACAAAAATTGTGTATTTTCTATATCAATATTAATCTCTTAGGTATATTTATAAAAATATGGAATAGGTAAAATAAAATATATAAATCTTTCACTAGCTCGATGTAAAACAAAGCAAAAATTTTTAATTTAAAGGAGAATTTAAATAAAAGGAATGAATATTTTAAAAAAGTATTTTAATAAATTTAGAGTTGCTACAAAAAATATTTACTTAAATTCCGATCTAAATTTATTTATGAACCTCAAAATATAAAATTCATAGTTTGAAAAAAATTGTGACTGTATTATAAAAGTAGCAACCTTGAAAGTCCACACAAAGCAACTTAATATAGGTAAACTGGAATGAATAATGGAACAATCTTGGAAATTGAAAAGATGACATATCGGAAATTGGAAATTATAAAAAATTTTGTAAATCAGAAGAATCTTAAGAAAATAGAATTTAGAAATCCGATCTAAATTTATTTATTTACCTCAAAATATAAAATTCAAAATAAATAATTTTAAACAAATTTTAATTAAATTTAAGTTGCTTTATGTTTTTCGTAAAATAAAATAAAAATAGCAAATAAACAAATAAAAATAATTTTTATTTTCAAAAAAATGTGCGTAAATAAATGAATACCGTATTTCCTAAAATAAAGCCCCATGGGGCTCTATTTTTCAACTATCCTCCAAAGTGGGGCTCTATTTTAGGGTGGGGCTCTAATTTAGCATGGGGCTCTATATTTCAACCTATTTTTCAAATTACAAAAATGAAAAATAGTTTATTTTTATTTACGAAATTTAGGAAAAATTTGCGATCTTCAATAGTTTTTGCAGACTTAAAATTTTGTCTATCTTCCAAAAGTTTCCTCCGCGGCGTTGAAAATAAAGAAATTTGACTCCTTGGCCTTCCAAGGTTCTCAAATAATAATAGTAAAGCGGTTGGTCCCGTTTCCCAATGCCTTCTAAATGGGGTTGCTGGATTGGAGTTTCGCAAGCTTACTTGTGTGAAACCCGCAAATTATAGGAAATAGGCAAGCGCTGGACATAGGGGAGTTTCGGATCGGGAGACGTCTTCCCTCCGAACCAGACACTCGATTGACTGACATCCTTTTTCGGACTGCTTACTCACCCAAATATTACAATATCACTTTTAATTGATTTAAATTTTTCTCATTCAATATCCCCCGAATGGACACTTAAATTCCTTCACCGGCTTTTCGCAGACTGTCAGTTTATGCTAAACTTTGGGTTGTTCTGGGAACTTCCGTTACTTAGCGCAAAGTTTAGAGCGCAACTATTCCTCAAGTGATTTCAGGTGGTCTCGGCCTTACAATATTAAGGAAGTTCCCTTAATCCAAAATAGCTCCCCACCCTTCTTAATTTTAATCTCTCGATATCCCGTTTAATCCCCAAATTCACTAACATCCATTCACTTTCCAACCCGTCTCCCCTTTTACTCACTTCTTAACAATTTTGTTTACCAATTTGGAATAAAAGTAAATTTAAAAAAAATGAGGTGGGGCTCTATTTTAGAGTGGGGCTCTAATTTAGCATGGGGCTCTAAATTTCAACTATCCTCCAAAGTGGGGCTCTATTTTAGGGTGGGGCACTAATTTAGCATGGGGCTTTATTTTAGGAAATACGGTATATTTTTAGTCTCAAAAATATTTTAAATATATATTTTAAATAGAGAATTGTTGAAAAATATATGTATATATAGAGAAATAACGATTTTTAGTGAGTGATAACAAAAATAAATATATTTAGTATTTTAATAATGAATCACATCAGATAAAAAATATTTTTAAAAAATAAATTTTTTGGAGGAAGGAGGCTTTGAAGGGGTTACTTTTTAATTTTTAAACTTTTTTGTTAGGTAATCTAAAGAGGAATAATGGAGGAATATAATGTAGTACTTTTTCTTTTTCATTAGAAAAAAATTTATTAATCATTTCCCCCTTATCCCCATCTTCCATCGAAAAATTTTTTTTAATTTTTAAAAATATTTTTTAATAATAATATTTTTATATATTTTAAACAATATCAATCAATAGGTAATCAAAAAGAATTTTTTTTAATTTAAAATAACAATAATTTTTTACTTTCCCTTATCAATAATTTGTTCTCTTGAACTATTTAACCTTTCACGATTTGGTGAAGGCGATTTATGATTATTATTGTTATTATTTCCAGTGTTATTACGTCTACGTGGAGCAATAGGAGGAGCTGTTGGTGTTAATGTTGTTATAGATGCTGATGCATTTGGGGCAACAAAACCTTCATGTAATTCAACCATTATACGTTCAAAATCACTAAAAATATTTAAAAATATTTTTTATTATAAAATCTCTTCATTTACCCATCATTCAATTTTGAAGATTTTAAAGCCTTTCCTCCCCCTCCACCACTACTCCCATTTAATGACTGGATAAATTTAGCATTTAATTCATCCAACAAACGGTCTTGACTTGTTGGACCCCCGCCAGAACGTGTTGCTGATGATGTTCCTCCCGAACGACGGGTAGTCTGAGCGGAACGACGTTTTTGTTGAGTTTCAAGTTGGCGCTTAAGAAAAATAAATTTTGAATATTTAATTGTGGAGACAAATAAGTGGGCTAATTTATATTTTCCGGAAATTATAAATTCTAATTTTAGTTTTCTAGAAATATATTTAAAAATAGATTAATTCAGATTGTAATTTTATAGTTTTAAAAATAGCTGTAATTTTATAGTCTTTAAAATAAATACAATTATGTAATTCTTTTACCTGTTCAGCTTTTCGTTTAGCCTCATTTTCAGTTCTAGCTTGTTCAAAATGTTTGTAAAAAGAAACAATTCTAGTAAAAAATACATCTGGTTGAATTCTTCCAGGCACTTCACCAAAATATTCTGCACATTCTCCAAAAGCTTCTTGTGCTAGTTTATAATTTGATTGAAGTGATTGAATATTAACTTCAGCAGATTCCAAAAATGTATTTAATAATTGGGGAGTTTCTTCTTTTCCTTTTCTTTTTTGTTCTGCCAAAGCCTTTAAAATTAAAATTATATTCCGTTTATAATTTCCGGAAACGTAGTTTTGAATTTCGGAATGTATGTTTTACTTAAATTTTGTTTCCAGGAATTATATAAACTTAGTATATTTACCGGAAATATATTTAATTATATTATCCAGAAAGGTTTGAATATTTGGAATATTCACCATTATTCTTTCCGGAAAGTCATAAAAAATTTCCATGAAAAATACTTCACACCTAAGTTTCCGGAAACATTGGGTAAATAGTTATTATATTTTTATTTTTCAAAACCAATAATTCTTAATTTATTTACTTGTCCAAATTTTGTTTCAATATCTTTAACATCAGCACCAATAGTTTCCATATTAACTTAAAAATGATTTATTTAATTAAAATATTTATTTAATTAATTTACCGGTAGCCCCATTTTCTGCCAATTTTAATTCACCACTAAAATCAAGCAAATGAGGGAATTTATCAGCTATTAATTCAACAATACAATGCAATAATGTAACATTTCGATCTTTTGGACTTTTAAGGATACTCAACTGGAAATGAATTTTTTCTAAAGATATTTCCAAAAAACTTACAGCATCCAAACTAGAAAGCCTAAAACCATAAACAGGCGCTCTTCTCTGTCCATTCATTGCATTTCCAATAGCCAAAATAATTTCAATAATTTTTGGAAATTTTTTTGAATTATGTACAGATTTAGCTGCTGCTGTAACCTTTTGGATTTGCTAAAAAATAAATTTTTTAAAAATTATTGTTGATTAAAAAAATTAAAAACATACAGGAATGAGTAGACGAACGCTTAAAAAAGAAGGGAAAATTAATAAAATTAAAAAAAATAAAAATTAAATCCAAAAATTGTTTAAAAGTAGGGGAGATTCGAATTTAGGGGAAAAATTAGGGGATAAATATTAGGGGATAAATATTAATATTATTCTGGAGCCAGGGAAGTGGAAACAAGAGTCCTAAAAAATTCCGTACTTGCCAATAAATATTTAAAAATTGAAAACCCCCTCACAAACCCACCTATCATTAAAATCTCCCATAAATTTCATAATCAAAAGTTTTTGAGACAATCTTTCAATTCCCATTAATTGAGCCAAAAATTGATCTTCAGCAGTTAATAATTCCCACGGATTATTTAAATTTGAAGAATTCTGATTCGAAGA